TGAATGTGAAAGAATCATAATGATCTTACCAGCGAGAGGAAATCACGCAGGTCGCGCGACCATCATCAGCATCTGATGAGAGCGATCAACGGTCTCGCACTCGATTCCTGGCGTATCATCATCATCTTCATCATAGCTGTCTTTCGTTGCACTTTTTTAAAAATTTTAATATAGACTTACAATCACCGACCTAATAAGACGCAATTTGGTAGCACTGCGCTTCCCCATCGTCACATTTGTGCCGTGGTTACCGTTCGTTCCGTTTGATTCGGTCTTGTAGGAACTGCAGCACAAGCTGCGCGAGCGCTTCTCTGAGCATCAGCCAACAGCAGAGGACAGCAGAGCACTCCTGCCTTTCCCATTACTGGTGCATCACTATTGCTCTTCATATGCACGATTATTACAAAGCCATTAGCCAACCGTTAGGTTTATGCATATGGGCAATGGTGTGCAATGTGCTTGCTCAAATATTGCAGCTGTATTCTGCATGCATGCTTATAAGGTCTACGTCAGACACATAAAGAAGATGTTTATATATCTAAAGGGCCTTAATATAGTGCTAAACAAAACAGAATAAAAGTCCTCTAACCCAGGCATAAAAATAATGCTATTTTGATGGAAAATATGGTACATCAGTAAAATCATAACAGTGATCAGTTGACCCATTGCCTTAAAATTAATAAGTAAATGAACTTCATGTGTATTAAAAAAAAATTAAGTTATGTGAATTTAACAATTCCACATAACATTTTTTTCCCCAATTACACATGATATAAGGTGCATAAATAAAGATGACATTCTGAGGATGCGTTTGGTCGTGTGCCCTGTTTGTATTTGCATCTGAATGTGACAGAATCATAAGCGGATGATCTTACGGATGTTTTCTGTAAAGTTTATTTAATTTTAAGGCAACAGATTTCCTCACTTTTTTTAAGTTAAGTCATCTTTATCATTTTTACAGTGAATTTAGCCTATTATTAATGGCATATTCTTTAAAACTGCATGTGAAGCTTTTATGTAAGGTCATGTTTTGATGAGGTTGGTCAATCCAGAGAAACACCTGGTCACCATTTCACCAGGCACTTAATTAATTTGTTAATTAAAATACTATTTTAGTGAAAAATTGTGTGCTTAATATTTTTAATAATTACGTAAGCAATAAAAGCCGTTCCATATTGAAAATCATATTGTCAAAAACACCCCGTCACTGCATTTATTTGACAGCATTTTATTTATATTGTTTCTTGATAAAATACACTTTGCTTACAAGTGCTGATTACAATTACTATCTTACATTCACCTTTATTTTACATAAAATATTTGACTTTTAAAACATAAAATAACACACATTGTGACCTGGAATACCAAAACCTCCTGCACTAAGAATCATAATCGTATCATTTCATGGTTCCGCAGGGGAAAACATTGACTCATTATTTAAAAACCCAAGTGTTTTGTAAAATGTCACAGGCATATAAGGTTGGGGACAGAGGCAGTGGTAAGTCATGCATTGCAACTCTATCAAAGGAAATAATAATCAACGACAGTTAACCACTGGTGTTTTCAGGTCTGACCAATTAAAATATTTCCAAGAACCCAAATATCAGTTTTTAAAGATTCATATGCGTTCTCAGGCCTAATATAAATGGAAGCATCACAGTTATATTCTATGAGTCTCTTGAATGTTTATATGCTGCATATGTATATATATATATGTAAATGAAAGCGATAATTTCCCATTGAAAGCCAGTCTCACACCCAAAGACATTCAGCACAACCCAACCACCACGCTACTAATGTTATTCATACAACACAAACACTAAAACCTGATGGATTTTTTTCTTTCTGTAATAAGCTATACTTCGAGTGATCAATAAAGTGAGCTGTAAGTGTCACACAGATATTATTAGTCAAATAAAAATCCACTGTGAGGGAACATCAATTCATTGCAAGCAAAACTAGCCACACAAAAAGACTATCACAAGGGCCTTGGTATAAAAAAAAAAATGTGTAAAAAGTTTGTACACTTAGTTCAGACAAAGGTATACCAAAATGGGACAGCCAATATAAAGATATAGTAAATACCCTGTATCTTAAATGATTTGTATATAGACTTCTTTTTTATTAAAATATATTACTTAAAATATATTACTTTGCTTAACTAGACAGACATTAAAAACAAAAATTGATTATCTAGTTACCAGAAATTGACTTTGGTATATTACCAAGCAACTCTCATCTAAAATTCGTTTACTTTTCTATTGCCTGGAAGGCAGACGATTAAAAAAAGACTAATTCAAAGATGCGACGAGACTTTTTTTTTTTTAACATACAGTACATACAACTATTGGTATCAAAATGTATCCGTTTAGCAGAATTGTTTCAGGACAGAAATTGCACAACATTTAATGTTGCAATATGATTGAAATTATGATTTGTGTTGGACAGTATTTCTCAAACAAAAACCCAATCAGACAAACAGATATATATATATATAGGCAAGATGCAAGAAAGCTTTGTAGAAAATGTTTGTACATCTCAAAGAAAGTCAGTATTTACAATATAAAACAAAACAAAAAAACTTCATATATTCGCCCTTCTGAGTGTTTAACTTCATTGCTCATATAGTTTATCCTTAAAAACTAAAGTTACCGGGAATATGTACTATTCCAATTATTGGCAATGTCATTCATGTGACGTAAACAACTCAAATGATTAGACACAGGCTATTGAAATGATTAAGACCTGTTTTTTTTTCTCCTGAGAGGGTACAATAGATTATCTGATTAAGAAGTGCTTTAATTCTCTTTATCCGTACAAGTCATTTTTTTTAAAGGTATAGCAAAGGTAAAGTCATTTTTCTGAACATAAAAAAGTGCAACCCTAATAAATCCTATTTTTTCCTGATGAAAATGATGTAAGGGGCTAATGCTCTTTTTTTTTATATAAATGTTGTAAATATACAAATTATTGCCATTATTGCCTAAGTGAAACCCACCAATGTAAGAGAAGTGCTATAGCCTGTTAACGTTTTTGACAAAACTCCCTTCTCTCCCATAAATAACTTTTAACAGTACCATATAAACCTAGTAACAAGGCAGGTTAATATATTAGGTTTACATATTCACAGTAATTCTGGAAAGTAATTGGTATTTCAGTTGTGTGGTTCTTTGCTTGAGTCACAACAAAGGCTAAAACCAACCGAACAATTGTTTTGCAGGATAAGCAAACACTAAATATTGATGTAACACGTTACTAATCCAGCAAACTAGTGTGAATTGTGTGTGAAAGACCCATAATCTGAGGGGTGGGAGGATGGTCAACATTTTTAACATCTACAAAAATAGTAGTATATTGATTTCCATTTTTGAAATTGTTACAAAAATATTAAAGAAACGACACAAGCTTTAAATATTGCCACTATTCAATATTGAGTCTAAAGAAAGGTGCTCAATGAATGAGAGGAAGAATTATTCGGCATTGTACATTTTGCATGCCTCATATTCTACTATTCTAATTGTGTTTGTGCTGTAAAGAAATGACGCACAATGGGGCAAATTCACTAAACAGTTGCGCCACTTTTGAAAAACCTGCATCTTTTTTACAAGCCATCCGCAATCCAGTTTAACCAGGCGCTTAAAGCACTGAAACGGGTGTCTGGATTTCAGTAGTGCAGCCATACTGAACAGTCCAAGTAAAGCTTGCCATATCACTGAAGTGTGCTGCATTCTCCACAACTAAGTGCTCAAAACTAGAGGTCTTCACGGTCCAGAAACCCAAGGTCCGACCCGAGCCACTTTGACAGGTGCCTCGGACACGGATCGGGTTCGGTATTAGTGGCCTCGGCTCTTGGGTAATTTAAAATAAATATGCTTGTTTGCAGAATGGACCCGAGAAGACCTGAATTATTTTTAACTATGCCGGGTATTTAAAGGAGTAGTTCACTTTTAAAATAAAACTTTTGCTCATAATTTACTCACCCCCATGTCATCCAAGATGTCCACGTCTTTCTTTCTTCAGTCGAAAAGAAATTAAGGTTTTTGATGAAAACATTCCAGGACTTTCTCCATATAATGGACTTCATTGGGAACCAAACGGTCCAAATGAGAGTTTCAGTGCAGCTTCAAAGGGCTTTAAACGACGAGCACCAGACGATGAATAAAGGTCTTATCTAGGACCCTTCGAGTCATGACTCGAAAAAAGATTTGTTCATTTTGATGAACGAATTCGAACAGGAGATTCGTGAACGCTCATCACAGAACAGAGCAATTGTGCTTATAAAACTTTAACTTTTTTATTTATTTTTGAAATGACCGATCGTTTCGCTTGATAAGACCCTTATTCATCGTCTGGTGTCGTTTAAAGCCCTTTGAACAGTTTGCACTGAAACTCTCATTTGGATCTTGAATCATTTGGTTCCCATTGAAGTCCATTATATGGAGAAAAATCCTGGAATGTTTTCCTCAAAAACCTTAATTTCTTTTCAACTGAATAAAGAAAGACATGGACATCATGGATGACATGGGGGTGAGTAAATTATCAGCAAAATGTTTTTTTTAAAGTGATCTACTCCTTTAACATAATTATATTATTTAAAACAATTCTGACAGATCTCTCTGAATCTACGCTTCTATGTGCAATGGATTCTATGCACAGTTGCTCCAAATTTTTGCCTACCGTTTTAACGAGCACCGTCAGCATTGATTTTAGACTCACTGCTTCCATGGATTATGGTGAACAATGTCAATTGAAGTGCCATCTCTCACACCCTCTGGTAACAAGGAGAAAGGCTTTAAATCGGATGTTTCGAGTTACGTCGACAAGTTTGAGGGCAAGTATTCTCAAGCGAACAAGCTTCGTTTGTGACCGTTTATATTATTATACCTTTAGGTTTCCGTTCAACCAATAATATAAAGTAATAATAAATAAGTAAATAAATTAATTAAAGTAGAGCAGCGGCCAAATCAGTCAGCAGGACAACATTTTTTTCTGACTGACTGCGGGGATGCAGACTGTCAATGCCGTTTACATTCAATAAAGGCTGTAGGGTTGGACTCGGGGTCTAATTTGTTCTGGTCTGACTCGGGTCAACAAATTAATTCATGCAAGTCGGGTTCGGGAAAGAAGTGATTCGGGGGACCCGAGAAGACCTCTGACTTACACAAACACCACTTGTAGCTGGCCATGTTTACAAGCAACATTACTTGATATGCATAATTCCTTTCTCGAATCGGCCACTAAAATAAAGCAGAATATACGTGCAAATAAGCAGCACTACTAGCAGGTGCAATCCATTCTTAGTGAATTCCCCCCAAAAGAATAACAGCACAACAGCCTGTCTCAAATGACAATGGACAGATGAATCGGTTCCCACAGCGAGAGCGTCACTGCTGTACTGTTGTAACATTTCTGCTACGTCACTGCTGTACTGTTGTAACATTTCTGCTACCCTCACCGCAGTGATTGTTTTGTTTTTTAAACTAATGAACGTGTTGCAGTTTATCTTAATGACCATTATCGCACCACCAAACATGAGACACATAGTTTGGATGGACCAATGCAATCATCATGACAGAACGCACCACATCCCTTGCACATAATCATGGCCTTCAGCCGACAGTAGCACTTTGATTGGACGTCCTCCATCCCAGAGGTTTCCATGTAGGCTTGCTCAGGTGAGGTCTCACCCTGACTGCTCTGATCCAGTAGGTGACCTGCAGGTATGGCAGTGACCGTGACTGAAAAAGACATCATACCTCCACTAGCCGTTTCACCATCACCACTGCAAGACACAGTGGGAGAGGTTGGAGCGTCAGCCATGCTGTGGTTCAGTGCATTAGGGACAGACATGCTGATAGTGCCACCATACTGAGGTCCATTATGGGCTTTCTGAGACAAAAACGTGCGTTGGTGACAGTCACTTAACTGATATCGCTCGGTTTTATCCTGTATATCAAGCTGTGCTTTTGAGCATATTTCTTTGGTTCTAGTAGAAGTGCTGTCTCCTTCTTTGCTGGATAAACAGCTCACTGATGGAGATTCAGACTTTATATCAGAACAGGGTTGGGATCCCAAAACATCATCTGGTTTATTATTAATGAAACAACCCTGCTGTTCCACTTTGACCCTTGAGAAATTCAGGTGCCCTTGAGAACCTGCAAGTGATTCGGTCTTCCCTTTCACACTCTCCTCTGCTTCAATTTTCTCTTTCTTCAGGTTAGCAAGGGTTGTATTACCAGCTAGGTGTGGCCGTTTGCTGCTCTCGGATACTCTACCGTATGTGGAGACGTTGAGGAGGTAGTGTCCCGTCATGGCTGGCTTGGATAGCCTCTTCCGTCCAAAGATTCCTAGATGGACACTCTGGTCTAGGCTGCTCTCAATGTGACCTAACTGACAGGATTGAAATTTAGAGGGTTGACAGTCTGAATTGGTGTGCTTCTGCTCACATTTGAGCATTAGTGGATGGAGCATCTGGTCCTGAGTGCCAACTTTGACCAACTTGTCCATACTTTGGACTTGCATCACAGATGAACAAAAAGGAATTTGGTTCCCTAATTTACTGACATCATCTTGGTTTGTTGGGCTATCTCTTTTAAACCCAGCAGTGGTGGTACCAAGGTTCCCTTTATCTTTGGCAGATATGGCCATAGAGTGAACCTCCACCTGGGCTAGTGGCTTTGGGAGGATCTTTTCTAAAGGAACCTCTTTACCTTGAAGAAGCTGGGTGACGAGAGGATTGTTTGCTGGGATTGAAGAGCTAGGTTTGGTCACTAATGCTCCTGAAAAAGGTGTCTGCTGTGGTCTCTGGTTTTGTGCAATTGTGTTGTGTCCTGCCTGACTTGAAGGTGCTGGTGTCCCTCCAGGACTGAGGAGGTTGTGTTGATCCTTCAATGCGCACTGAGTGGTTTGCGACCCCATCAAAGAGCGATTTTCTTTTAAAAAACCCTGTGCAGTGAAGTCTGGTACAAAACCGGGGTCTGTGTGTCCAGTAAAACCTGAGGAAGGAGAGGTTTGTGAGAGAGTCACTGTGCCTTCAGGGGCCGGAGATTCAGAGCTTAGCTTTATAGGCGACACAGATTGACTTCTGCTGCTTGCTGGTGAAAAATCTTCAGACAGGGACCGAGCTGGAGAGGGTGTTGAGGTACCTCCAACTGAGCCGGTTCCTCTCGAGGAAGATGACCCGGCTGCTGCTGCAGCAGCACGCTGTGCGCGCGCTAACTGGGCTTTTGCCTTGATATCAGCTAGAGTGCGCGCACCGGTGCGACCAGGCCGAATGCTAGGGGGTGTCAAGGGAACAGGAGTCCTTGGAGATACCTGCTCAATAGAGGCAGGGGCAGAGAGAATTCTTGACACTGGGATCTGCAAAGAGAGAGTTTAAGTGTTACTATCAAAGCCAAAATTCCACTAAAGTTAACATTTAATGTCAACTCCATACCACGATAATAGGGTGTTGTGGGTTACTGCCAGGACGTTGCTATTGTGGTTGCTAAAAGGGTTCTGAAGCGGTTTTAGCACGCTGTTATTATTGCTAGAGTGTTCTCGATAGATGCTAGTGCATTCCAAGGCAGTTGCAAGAGAGTTGCTTTGAAAATCTCTCAACAAGTCACACACACAATACGCGTTGCAAAAAAAGTAGCACAAATGACACTTATGTATACACTGGGCGTGACCCTTGTCAACTGCTTAAAGGAGTAGTTCACTTTAAAAAAAAACTTGCTGATAATTTACTCACCCCCATGTCATTCTTTCTTCAGTCGAAAAGAAATTAAGGTTTTTGATGAAAACATTCCACGATTTTTCTCCATATAGTGGACTTCAATGGGAACCAAACGGTTCAAGGTCCAAAAGACAGTTTCAGTGCAAACTGTACAAAGGGCTTTAAATGATTTCAGATGATGAATAAGGGTCTTAAAGTTGAAGTTTTATAAGCTCAAATGGTCGCCTTGCTCTGTTCTGTGATGTGCGTTCGTGACTCTCCTGTTCGAACTCGTTTATCAAAATGAACGAATCTTTTTTCGTGTCATTTGGTTCATTCAACGAACGAAATGAATGAGTTGACTCGGTAAAAGATTCTTCAATTTGATGAATTTGATACCATTTGAGCGTATAATCCTTAAACTTTGTTGTTGTTCTTTTTAAATGAGCGATCGTTTCCCTTGATAAGACCCTTATTCATCATCTGGAATCGTTTAAAGCCCTTGGGACAGTTTGCAATTTGCATTGAAACTGTCTTGTGGACCTTAAACCGTTTGGTACCCATTGAAGTCCATTACATGGAGAAAAATCCTGGAATGTTTTCATCAAAAACCTTAATTTCTTTTCGACTGAAGAAAGAAAGACATGGACATCTCGGATGACATGGTGGTGAGTAAATTATCAGCAAAAGTTTTTTTAAAAGTGAACAACTCCTTTAAAACTGTCAGTAACTCATCACATTTCACCTTATAGTGTAGACAGTATCAATTATTATAATGGCTTTTGATGCATTGCATCATCACTCTCATCTGGTGTAAACAGGGTGTCACACAGTGCAGTTTAATACTTAGGGTGAATTTAGGTTTTTTTGTCGTTTCAAAAGAAATAAACCTAAAACTTACTTTGAGAGGAGGTACTCTCTGTTCTACTTTTTCTTTATCTGTCACAGTGGATGATGTTTCTGATAAAGAGACACGGGGCTTCTTCTCTGTCCTTAGCTCTGTATCCAGTTCAGTAGAGAATTTTCTCTTCAGAGGCTCAGATGTGACGGGAGTTATTGGTGATCCAGCCTTATCGTTCTCCGTTATCTGTTCAGCATTACCCACAGAACTTTCCTCTTTAGTGGTTTGTGTCTCCTTTCCTTTCAAACAGGTGACTACCGCTTCCAGAGGAGATGCTGGGGGCTTACATGTGATCTCAATCTCCAGCGTTTTCTCACTGCAAGGTTTGGAATCCACTGCTTTTTGAACAGAGGACTCTGAAATCAATTCTTCCTGTGCATCCTTCCTTACGTCTAAAGATAAACGTGATTGCTCTGAAGCAGGAGGTTTGACTGGCTCTTCAGGGGAGGTATGCGTTACTGTTGATTTCACATCTCTGGATCTTAACTCCATGTGGATGACCTCTGTCACAGGGTTTATCTTCTGAGACTCTTTGACAATCTCTGGCTTTACTGATAGGACTGAGCTTTTAGCTGGTTCAGGAATGTCCATGGATTCTGTCAGCTCTTTGGATTCCTCTATACTCAGTCCAGAACTGAAAAGCAAGAAAAGACTGAAGATTAGCAAAAATTACTACTACTAAAAACCCACTACTCAATTTTCCGGCCTCACATTGATTGGATACCAAAATAAGGCATAGAACTTCATGACAGGAATCACACTGTAAAGAATTATCGTGATTTTAACAGTAAAACACTATAAATATAATAAATCATATTTACAGTTTTCCTTATAATATACAGTGAATAACTAATATATCTAACATCTAAAATACTGTTAAATTGACAGTTTTTGGAAGTGAAAAAGAACAAGTCGTGGTATAATTTACAGTGAAAAAACGTTAATTGACATTCCCGGGATTCCCTGCGTGACGCTTCATAAATTATGTATTTTTGTTGAAATAACTAAAGTATGTCTTAGGTTTTTATAATCAGTTATGTTTATTAGGGTTTTAAGTTATATCTAACGTTGCTGAATTTATGTTTATTACATTACTTTAGTGTCATGTGTTACCATGATGGTGTTTTGTGCTTATGTGAACCACACTGTGCACCTTTTATATTTATTAGTATTTACCTTCTTAGCTTGTGGAAAAGCTCCTTGTGATGAGCTTTGATTCATCATGACACATTCTCATCACCACCTGTTTTGGTGGTTGTCAGTGTATTACAAAAAGTACAAAACAGATTAGTACTTCAATAGATTGGTATATATTAACATTACATCAGTTAAATTTCATCTTTAACTGTAAATTTAAGGTAAATCTGTAAAACCTAAAGTGTTGCTACCGGATTTTTTTTACAGTACATTTCTGGCAACCAAAGCTGCCGTTTTTTCACCGTTTTTTTTTTTTTTAAGTGCACGATATACGGTATATCCGAGGCACTTAATTCAGTGAGTGTGAGAGACCCACGAGTGCCAATATTTCAGTAACAGAATTGTACACCACCCCCTGACCACCCCCTCAGATTTTCTTTTTTCAGTATTTCCATATGGTGTGGTGGCTGACTTACTGTTCACCATAGTAGCTCTCAAAGAAATGCTCTTTCCAAAGTTCCACCTTCTTTTCCTTCTCAATTTCTTGCCGCATTCTCAGTCTCAGCTCTGGGGTAAACTCACCTGAGAACACAGTTATGCATTAGCCACATACAAATATTGCAGATAAATCTGCTTATTACAAAATTACAAAGTAACTTTTTTTTAAAACTAGCATCAAGTAACTTTTTCCTCTGTATAATGGTTTACTCTAAATAGAAAAATGCGTAAGAATAAGTACATTCACGTTAAAATGAAGTCTCCTTTGATATGGCCTCCTTATGGGGGCTGCCATGTTGAGATCACATGACTTGTTAAATACTACTTATTTTATCTCGATAACCACTCATTTGCTGGACACTTTCAGTTGTGTGGAATAAATTAAATGGGAGTGAAAAGAATACCTCCAAATAGGGTTTTTCTATAATTGTGACCAAAAACATTTGCTTTTGTGTGATGCTATATCCACACTGAGAGTAAAAAATGTCAAGGCCAATACGCCTTATTCAAGGCAGCGCCATCTTTGATCGTTAATGAGAATGAAAGCGAGGCTGTGAGGGATGGACTTGCATCTCTTCAATGGGCTGTATTGTTATTTAATGTGTTTTCGGATTGTTCTGCTCATGAAACACTGGAAAAATATTTTTCTAAGAAATGTCAGTTGACAAAAAACTCCCGACAATGTAAGCTGTGGAAAATTGTAAGTAATCTAGCCGCTTTATTCAGCTTTTTACAGCGGATGCCATTGGAAACACGGTAAGTCTATCCCTCACACCCTCACTTTCATACCTGTCATGGCGCTGCTCTGAATAAGGTCTATGATGTATCAGGCAATGAAATTATAACAAAAATGTACTTAGTACACGTTTAAGACACAAGAACAATAACTGACCCTCTGACAACCTCTCTTTCCATGATTGTGCTGCTGATGTGAAGAATTCATTGTTCAAGGCAGAGCTGGTCACCTTCAATGCTCCATCTATACTAGCCTGCAACAAAGAGTGACCACTCAGCACCATAATTGGTTCATAAATAACAATTCATGATCCACAAAATCATTCTGTATGTTGAACACAGCAGGGTTCTTCTGCTTTACACTACCTGCTGGTCAACATCTGGGAGCATCTTAAGAAGCTTCTGTTGACACTCTGTAGGCAACAGTGAGAATGTGTGCTTGTTGATTAGTGCTCGCAAGTTGGTGTTGACAAGGATGGAATCTGGTGTCTCAACATCTATCTCACACTTGGTGCGCCTCAGTTGTCCTGAAAAGCAAAAGCGGTGGGATCAGTTACAGTACATCATGTGCTGACACAAATGACATCAATCTGCGACGATACTCACTGGCACTGAGCCGACTGGAGCGCTGAGACACCTTTCGGGCACCAGTCGCATGGCACACATCTGCTTTGACAGAGGAGGACGAGCTGGAGGTAGAGTTCTGTGGACTGGCAGGGCGGCACTCTGTCTGTTTCAGCTCCCAGGCTACAGCAAACAGACATACGGTTTTATATCTCTTTTTCATTGACAAAAATATATAGCACCATCAAAAGTTTAGACACATCTGAAGAACATGCTTTTATTTCTTACATCATCACAATGAAAAACAGTGCCTAGTGAAACTGTAAAAATACTGTAGTAACAAAAACAGTACGTACAGGATTTGGAGGAGTCACGAGCCACGTCTTTGACAGTCTTGAGGAGCAGCCGTGGGCTTGAGGCGCTGGGGATTCCACATTGCCGGCGTTGATTTCTCTGCTGCTGCTGTTTCAGTGCCTATAAATGAAGAAATGGAGAATGTCCATAAACCCACAGATTACTTAACATAAGTTATTTCTGTTGCCAACAAAGAGCATAGAGGGTCTCTCAACAGCATAAGGTTTAAACCAGTGAGCACATAGTGGGTTTATATAGTTGACCTTTTAATGAACTTTGGTTTTGCAATTAAAAATTGTTTTGTTAAGTACTTCTAATTTATTTTTAATTAATTATCCAAATAGGATAACTAATTAAAAATAAATTACCATGTGGTAATGCCTATTTGGTAATTTATTATCAAATTAATTATCCAAATAGGCATTACCACATGGTTATTCAATATATAAAGCATTTGTATGTTGAATTTCAAGCAAAAACTAACATAATGTGATATACCGTTATCGTAACAAAAAAATACCATGAAAATAAGACCCCTTATGTTATGTACGTTAACTGTTATTTATAACTTGAGAGGTGTAAATGGCAGCACCTGTTTGAGGGCCTTCTTGCTGTGTTTCTGTGATGGGGACATGAGTTTGCTGCTGGAGACTGACGGAGACGAACAGCGAGACTGTGGGGAGGACGGCTGAGACTGCAGTTTTGTTGGCACTGCGAATGATTGGAAAGCAATACATTGGGTATTTGGACATCTGTACCACAAACACAAATAAACAGGCAAATGCAAAAACTTAATTTTTACTCAATGACAACTCATTCAAGGTTAATACAAGTTTCCAAAATACATCGAAAAGTACACTAAGTAAATTATTACTTTTAAAAATTTTAGAATTTTTTTTTTAGAATTTTTTTAATATATATTTTACATATAATATTTACATATAATATTTTTTAATACATATATATATATATTTTTATATATAAGTTGAGTTGTTATCTTGCAGTATCACTGCTTTTCCATGACCGCTATAAATTCTTAAATACACTTTTGCTGGAAAACAAATACACTGTGTGATGATTTAGAAATGCCAAATGCAATCCTTTCTTACTAATTTTTCCAAGACTCTCACAAGTCATCTATCCAGCCAGCTAGATAACTTGACCTTGTGACACATTTAAATCAGCAGAATTCTCAATAACAAAAACTTCTCAAACATCACAAAAAAACTCTTTAAGTCAGCAAGGCATTCAAATACTTTCACCAAAGTCAGATGTAGTGGCAACAAAGTGCTGGTCAGAAAGTCAAAGTAAAAGTAAGAACCGAACCCCCCCCCCAAAAAAAAAAAAATTTCATTGTAATATTATACCGTAAATGGTGTAATATAAATCAACGTTCACTTTGACTAATAGATCCTACTAACTAAAGCACATTTTTAAAAAAATGCTTGATCAAACTAACTCTCATGAATGATATGCTACTGCTGCGGTAATTATTTCCTTGTCTTTGCTGAGTTAGTTTCTCTCTCTGATACAACAATAATCTTCTCAATTCACAACATTAAAGTTTCATCAGCATATTAAGATTAAAAAGTGTTACTTACAGTACTTGGTTCTACAGGAATTTGCTCTATTAGAGTGCATTATCCTCAAATAATTTTAAAGTTTCTACAAGACAGCTTGAGGAAAAGCCTGTGTTTGTCTAGATAACTTCGTACTTATACTTCAAATATATGAGGAAGTGGTATCAATCTTGCAAAAAAAAAAAAAAGAGAGAGAGAAAAAAAGTAGAATTTCCTGTTTAAAGGGTGTTCTGCATTCAAATAATATTTTGACTTGAAAGGAGCAAATGTACATTGTAAAGTCATTTACACATATATCAAAATCAGTGTATTACACATTCATGGTTCAGAACATCATCTACATATTCATCTACATCCCATAACACATGAGTCTTAATATCTAACAGTGATCATGGGACCATAGGTTATATTTTATAATATTTCTTCAAATCTTTCAATATAAATGTCAGACTGATATTTTAGCAAACTAGTGTCAGTTTAAAAATCTACTGACAGGTTTTTTTGTTGAGTGTAAATGCTGTTTAAAATTATTGTTATTATTAGGGGCCAAGCCCCTATTGTATCTATTAGTTTTCTTATTATTTTTCCCGAATGGGAATGGCAGCCCTATCAACGAAACATAGAAAAATTATGAAATTTGGCACAATTGTAGTGACGTAATGAATAGTAATTGGACCAATTTTGAGTCTCTAGGACCAACTCTATAGCTTTTAATCGATCACAATCAATATCTTACATTAAGACTCAGCCCATTATAGTAGAATTTTGAAAAGTACAGTTTTTTCACTACTACTCCTTCAAATCTTGCTCAATTTTGCCAAAAAAATGACCAGATGATCTTTGGGCCGGGCCGCACATAAATGACTGAATGCTTTGTCATTTTTCAGCTTTGTCATCAATATTACATTATAAATTACATTGTAAAATATTAATAACAGAAAACAGTTATTTTAAATTGCAATAATATTTCACAATATTACTGTTTTATTAAATAGCATAGGCGAGTAAAACTTTTAAACAGTAGTGTATGTTAAATGTTAAAATACTTCGTCCTATTCCAGTTTAATATACAAGAACAAGCCTTTTGTATGGTAATTCATAGAGGTGGAGGAGCTACAAATGAAAATATATCAAAACATTTTTCTGTTTCAGTGATCCGAGACAGGCCTATCCAATGACATGATTCTGGAATGAAACTAGGCCTATCTGACCAATGACAGACAGGGGGAATGTTCGTGGTGCAGAAATGACACACTTCAGCTCTAAGTTTGGCTATTCAGAGCTCATAAAAATGTGGTACCTCTCCTCTTCCACCTTCCTCTGCGTCCATCTTTGCCGTAGGTAGTGGTGCTGGTATTTTCTGAGCATCGGGTATCAGACATGTTATCACTGCTGTCCTCTGAATCCTCTTCTGACAGTTCTTTCATCACATCTCCAATGTCCTTCTGCTCACATACAAATACAAAACATACTCATCAGATGCCAAACACTAATGTTCATAAAACTGCTCACTTGAATCTGATCAAACAGTTAATGGTAATTTATACATTAATAAATAATTAGGAATGTGTAGAGCATAAATATCTAGAAATTTGCTAGTTTTTACATTTTCAATTAAACGAAACCACATCGACAAGTGTGGCTTGTTATACTAACGTTAATGGAGCATTAATTAATTATAACAGCAAATGGTACAGTAAATATTCATGCCATTAAACAGAGAGAACAGACACGCAATAGGAAACCAGCATTTATATTTACTTTTATTCATCATTTGGCAGGCACTTTTATCAAATGCAACTTACGGTGCATTCAAGGTATGCATGTTATTAATATATTGTATGTAAACTGACTGTATGTAGTACATATGAAAGAGCTATATAATTACCTCATTCATTCATATTACCTTCAGTGTATAGACTCCCATTCGACCGGGGACCTTGTAGAAGATCCCTTCATCTCCACGTGAGTTTGTATGGAGCATGGCATTGAGACAGGCAAGAGGGGAAGTCCCACTAAAAAAATAATAATAATAAATTATATATATGGCTCTACTAGAATAGGTTTTTATGCTTGAATATTCAAACACATTATTTTTCACGTTTTACATTGTTGCAACACCTCTTTTCCCAGCCTGTCAGTAACGCTCTGTCTCAATGAAGCCACTCCTTCTGAAAAGTGCAAGGAGCTCTGATTGGTCGGCTGGTGCAGTCAGTGTGTTGTTATTAGTCAAATGCTTTGTGTGTTTTGGAAATGTCACACACCTTACCAGTTTCAACACTACTAACACAACTCAACCAGGCCTCGCCCCTTTTTTTGTGGAATTATTTATGTAAATGAGGAATATTGTGATGTGCATGTTAATGGAAAAAACTCAAGACTCCAATCGAAGCGTTTCAGGGAGCTCAGAGTCAGTGCTGCTCATTGAAATGGTATTGAAAGGGGGTGATTTCTGTAGTTTTTACAGTATACACTATTTATTAATATTTTGAATTAGCTTTTATTTTAATATTTCCAGTTTTCCTTTTAATATTAGTATTTCTGTTTAACTATTAGTCATTCTTTATATGCTGTTGTAAATTTTATTATATTATTACTTTTGTTTTTAAGTTAATTTTTATTTCAGTTTTGGTTTTAGTCGAGTTTTTGTTTATTTCTTAATTAATGTAACCAAGGCAACATTTCAAATTTTATTATTTTATTTCAGCTTTATTCCAATTAACAAAAATGCTTTAATAGTTCTGCCTTGCAGATAGTTTTGTTATGTATAATTTGTCTTTTTTAGAAAGCATTTTTTTTTTTAATAAATAATCATAATGATGAGCTTAAGGAGACTAAACAAGCATTCAGTACATAGATAATCATATTATGAAACATCTTCAAACAGAGCAAAACTGCCAGAAGCACAACAAGCCACTAGCCATTTCAGATATGGTCAAAGCCATGGCCATCAGGTCCTCGCTCTTGGGGTTTACAGAGACATGCTGTCAACTGTGGACATGTTAATAACGTGCAAAGGGATTGGCTAATAGATTTAAGTTAGTTGGAGGGGAGGGTGCACTACTGTATAATCTTACCTTCTGGAAGACAACAGAGAAATGTAAAAAAAAACAAAAAAAAAAACATTACGTTAAATTTTGCTTTGGAAAAATAAAACAAAAGAGAGTAAATAAAACATAAAAGGTGTATGATCTAGTATAGTTCAGGGGAAGCCTGCTTTCTTTATTAAAATAGCCTGCTATTTTAATAAAGAAATGCTCAACAAACATCTGGAGAATGACCTCACCTTATCTCCTTAAGCCTTTCTCTCTGAATTACTTGCAGGATCTCTTTATGACTCATCGGTGTGTTGGGGTACTTCTCGAGCACCTGTGAACAGTATTACGGGAACAAATGAGTAATTCAGCTATGACTCACTATAGCAGTAACCGCAGAGAAAGGATGAAGTAGATGAACGGATGGTCAGTCTAAAAAGGAGGCTTGTTAAACAGTAATGCTTTTGAATTCTATAATTAATTGACCTCAGTGAAGCAGACAATGCCGTCCTGTGAAACTAATCTACCGGTAATTATTATTATTGGATCAGAGAAACGTGTTAGAACTGCATTCTAAAGTGGTTATATTTAGGAAAAGCCAACACACGTGTGCGGTCATGTGCTGTCATATCAATCACAAGTTCAGTATGGAGAACCACAAGGCTCAGTATTAGGACCGTTGATTTTATTCCTGTACATGCTACTCTTGTGAGATATCATTAGGGAGGAGCATGGCGTTAGTTTTCACCGTTACGCTGATGATATTCAGCTCTATATTTCTTTCCGCCCTGACAAAACATACCAATTCACTAAATTAATGGAATGCATCATTGATATAAAAAAATGAATGAATGGTAATTTCCTATTACTTAATTCTGAAGAAAAAAACTGAGATTCTAATTATTGGAGTCGGACCAAAAACCTCTGCACGCAATAACCTAGAATACTGTCAAACACTTGATGGCTGCTCTGTCAAGTCTTCGTCGTCAATTAGGAACCTGGGTGTGCTCATTGATACCAACATTTCAGTTGAAAGCCACATTTCCAGTATCTGTAAAACCGCATTTTTACATCTTAAAAATATCTAAATTACGACATATTCTCTCAATGACAAATGCAGAAAAGTTAACATCATGCATAATGAACTTAAGGCTAGATTATTGTATTGCTCTACTGGGTGTTTGTTTGCCCTGCACGCTTAAACTCCAGCTGGTTCAAAACGCAGCAGCTCGAGTTCTTACTAGCCCGATTCGGTCAACACTGCATTGGTTCCCTATTAAACATCGCATTCATTTTAAAAACTTGCTAATTACCAACAAAGCACTAAATGGTTTAGCCCCTCAGTACCTGAGCGAGCTCTTAACGCATTATAGTCCTTCATTCATGTAAAAGTTTTGGCCAGTTGAAAATTATTTTCTATTCTTTATTTTATTTTAAAGGGGACAATGCACATTAATTAACATGATGAGCAATCAAGTCCATCCTGTAAATGTGTCAGATTAAGCACTACAGGCTAACTTTCATCTGGCAGACCCTGGCAGGTTGATGGCAAAAAAGAGAATACCGAGAATATCAAAATAAACTCCAGGCGGTAGATCCTTTTCCTATTTAGCACCCAAACTCTGGAAAAGTCTTCCCAGCTTTGTTCAGAAAACAGACACACTCTGTCAGTTTAAATCTAGACTAAAAACACAACTCTTTAACCTGGCATACACATAACACATTATCAAATTCTATTATTCAAATCAGTTAAATGATTGTTAGGCTGCATAAACACCGGGAATACTTCCTATAACACCCGATGTACTTGTTACATCATACGAAGAATGGCATCTGCGCTAATATTAGACTGTCTGTCTTATCCTTATCCTGAGTTTACCGTAGTCAGCCGGACCCGGTCCATATCCAGATCAGATGGTTGACCTGCACCTAGACATGACCAAAACGCAGCCCTGAATGTCAGCACAGACCGTGTCTAATAGAGAATCCCCAGTAAAGGCCTCGTCGCCATGACAACCATCAGCAAAACTCGGCAAAGACCACAAGAACCAGACAGGTCCACCGCACAGACCCTTTGGCCAGCTTCGGCTCCATACCGGCGTGATGAATCTGATCTTCAAGCAAAAAGAACTAGATGAATATTTGAATGCTACAGATTCCGGTCTGAATTCTGACTTGTGATGCAGCCTGAATTATAATCACACCGTGTTTGTTTGTTGGCCAGAGAATATGTCACAGAATAATAATTTGTCACCTAAATAATTATAATGATGATGAATATGCATGCATTTAGAAAATAGAAAGGGTGAATTTTCATTTCATGCTTTTATGTTTTATTTATGGGTTTTATTGTAATTGCATGTGCCCCAGTTCATTGTACTTTAAACCAAAGCAAGGTTATCTTACCATCAAACATTTTTCAATCTTTTCATTTTAATAGGCTAATCTTTACTAACTGTGAATAAGAAAAATATTGTTTGATGCCAATTATTTACTTTAAAAATGTATTCCATTACAGTTACAAATTACATCATAAAAAAGTATTCAGTAACGTAATCCAAGCACCACAAAATGAAAGTAATGTAGCCTATTAAGATTTCTTTTGGATCCGCACATCACTGCGGTCAGTCAATATAGTATTATTATGTCAAAATACAAATTTATTTAGTTTTAAGTGAAACCGAAATCCTGATAGTTTTCCCAATTTTTTTACAAAATGTAACTATAATCTGATTACTTTGTTTTTTGACGTAACTGTAACTAATTAGTTACCAGGTTTTGGATCCATGTTGTTACATGTATTCTGTTACTTCCCAACCCTATCATATATAAATATATTAGAATAAAATAAACAACATCACCTTGTTTTAATAGTGCTGTACATTGATATAACTTACTATATAATATTGTGCACATTCTCTCACACCCACGGTGCCTCATCAATAAGGCATGCAAAAATGAAACTAACCCTGGAAAAGGATTTGCTGGAGCAGGTTATGTTAAGTTACTAAGTAGCTATGGCTAGTTGACTACTTTTACAAATCCTGAAAGTTACCTCTGTTTTGGCCCTGAAAGTTGAGGTTATCCGCTTACCCTTAAACATACCCGGGTATGTCACATAACCTGCTTTCTGGAATACCCCCATTCAAGTGATAAGCATTTACAGTACTGTTTTTTTCTTTCTTTCTTTTCTGCTGTAGCTTTGTTTTCACTTAATAAGAATTGGACGGTTTTTATTGTAATTGCATAAGTCCACGTTCATTGTACTGTAAACCTGTTCATACAGTCCTGGCATAAGAATTTTCAGTTATATTTGCATTTTCTGCTGTAGGCCAACTCTTTTCGTTCATTACGATTTGGACAAAGAGACAGTTCAGCTGCTGACCCGGACACTGCGATTTGGAGATGTACAAATCCACTCGTTCTAGAACCGCTGTCTGATTCAGACTAACGTTAATTCGCAAACAAATAGTTCATTCAGATTCGTCATCCGATTCATCAAAAATATCCGACTGAAGACAAACAGGTGCATAATCAAAAACTGTGAATATGAAACTTCAGTTTGAAGTCACTTGTATCTCAGAAGACAAGAGACACTTGTATCTCAGTTCAGTTCCAGTGTCTCGCATATTACAAACAAGTTTAATGCAACAACAATGCGGAAAGATAAGATAATACCATCAAAACAACCATTTTAACGACGTCAAAAAGTAAACAAGCTCTGTTTGACAAACTCGCGGTCTCTAAAGATACAACATCATGTTTAAGCGGTCGGTGATAAAAACCGTTTACAGCACAAAACACTGAGGAATTCATAAGCAAGAAGTAATATTACAGTGTCCTTGATAGGTTAACGAAATTACTGGGTTATTTTGTGGGTGAGCTGAGCTAAGCTAACTGGCTAACCAGCGAAGTGTCACTAGTCTACATAAGCGCGCTAAGCTGCCTCGCGCTTGCTAGCAACTGACAAGAACGTCATGCTACAGGCGTTTCATCGAATCACTTCCCGGATCAAAAAAGTTCCCAAATGTTACGTAAATATGGGTAAAACCAGTTCATGCATGCGTTATATCATGCTTTATAGTGTATGGATCTAAATGCACTTTGGCAACATCAACCGAAACCAGGCCCTGAAATGCATACGCAATACTTCGCCTACACCAGCGGGTCATGAACTCATAAACACAGTTGTACAAGTGGGAGCACAAGGCGAAAACAAGCTAAACAAGCTTTCAAGAAGTCTTCTGTTTTACCGTTTTGGCGGCCTCTGCCCACGTCCTCCCCTTTTTCTTCTTCTGTCTCTCCCTCATGTCGGCGGTCGGTCTCGAAAAATCGACCAGGGTGCTGTAGAAAGTGTTGATGTTGCTTTAGTTACCGTGCAAGACCTGCCATCTCTGCCATATTGGGTTTTTACTGTAAGAGACAAATCATGTGACCCTCTGGGAAACGTCATCTTACTGTACGATGACAGTTCAGGGGAAACCACCTACCTAAGGCTAGTACTCACTCTCCTTTGTTTTCATTTGTATAAACGTTTCAAACTCCAAACAAACACACACGCTTGCACATAGTATCGATTTTAAGCGTGCATACCGATTAAATTACATTCATGGCATTTAGCAGAAGCTAAATCATCATGAGTTTAAAACAAAGCTTTATTTTCACATGTTAGATTACTGTGGTCAACAGAGGGAAAAAAAAAAAAATATATATATATATATATATATATATATATATATATATATATTTAAAAGTAAGCCTATGTGTTTATAAAATGTGTCTTAGACTTTATTATGTAGGCTGTAATTTCACTAAATATCAAAATAAAACAAGTGGCAGTTAGTTTTTGTAACAAAAACATCAAGCATACGTTTTATGCAAACCTTTCACAAAAAATAGTTTGTGAGGGTACAAATTATAAAACAACAGATACACTGCAATAGGGAAAAAACAATTTGAACACTTTCTTGATTGTTGATGTTTAGCTTACCTCAAGGGCATCCAAGATGTAGGTGTCTTTGTTTCCACAGTATTTTCAATTTTGACATTTTTCAGTCAAACCGTTGTTGTCTATCAGTCATACACTGGAGGCTAAGGGGGGTCCACCAAAAAGCATGCACAGAGAAGTCAAAATTAAACATGATTTAATGACTCGTTAATGTAAGTACACATTGATGGCCTAAGACACGAAGCGAGCGCCTTTTTTGATATTTTATTCACAAAGTACCTGTAGGGTGATGGTCTTGTTGAGCTATAATAGAAGATTATACTAAATAACAGTTTTGCCAGCTGGGATGTAAAAACTTTGATGCTCAATATCTCAGAACTACCCTAAACGGAGATAGAACCTTATAATTCTAAGCTCATGACTTATTGGCTTTATAGGCCATTATGTTCATGTAATTTTTACCTTTTTAGCTATTATATAGGCATATTTTGTTCAATCCGTCTGAAACAATTCATGAATTTTTACTATTGTGCAACATGTTCTCACTTGTTTTTAAGATGATCTGAGCATTCATTGAAGAGATATAGGCTTTTGAGGACACTCGGTCAAGGTCACATGTATTGAAGTGACCCTATTATAGCCATCAAAATGTAGAAGTTCAACCTTTTCTAATCATTATTGCTCTAGAGAGTCCAGATAATTGTGCTGCACTGGTTTTGAAAGTTAACATCTGGAAATTAGATGACCTTTGATGGAACACACCATTTACAGTCAATAATGGCAATTTACCATAGGGAATACATTGTTTTTTAACAGTTTTAACAGTTATAGCGCCACCTATAGTCCGATCTCAATGAAACTTTGCATGCTTGTTAATGATGTCATTTTTATGTTTTTTATGTTATAGCGCCAACTAGTGTTTGATTGTCGCTATTTTTTTTACTGTGACCTCAGATTTAACTCATACATATGTCTATCGAGTTTGGTGCAGATATCTAATTTACTTCTGGAGTTACTCATTACTTTTAATGAGTCTGTACAAATTGCGTAATATGTGTTTACAAAATTAAAAAAAAAATGCATTGCATGTCTTTGCACACATGTTCTGTAGATCTGCGATTTATAGTTACATCTTCCGATGGCTCATTGACGGATCCATGGACGTATCATGTTCTGTGCACTGTGACCCCAGCGTGTGTCGCATGTTATGACATCAAAAGCTGCGTCATTTGACCATGCGTTTGACTCCCATTTGACTCCCATCTTCTGTTCCTTCTAATCGTTATTTTCTTTTTACCATTGCTTCATTCTATCAATTTTTTCTAGTTTATACACTCGCAAATACAAGCACATTCACACACACAAACACAAATTTATTTATTTTATATTTATTTTATTATTAATTGTTCTGACAGGGTGTATTTATTTTATATTCTAACCAATTCAATGTTTCAATCAATATACAAAAGCAAAATGGTATCTGTTTGATCACAAATGTAATTGAATATTTTACATGGCATTTTTATCCCCCCTTTTTTTTTGAATGAGTGTAAAAATGAGTGTATCTTAAAAACTAATTTATGTAAACAGTTCAAATCAATTCTGTATAGTTTTTAATTGTTTTATGCACATTTTCCACATTGACAAGTTTACGGTTGACATTTATCATTTGTATTGAATAAAATATGTGGAAATGTTTTTTTTTATTTTTTTAGTTTATTCCACTTTTGAGATATTTATCTACTTTCTATTGATTATTTACAAACATAACCTTCAAATTGGGACAGTAAGGATTATTTTGATGTATGGCATTTGAAAATGCTCAAAAGAATGACAGCACAGCATGTAAAAATACAAAGATACACTCTAGTGGAATTGTTCTATGGCAGGTCATAAAGGGTTAATATTATATTATTTATCATAAATATTATTTCATAATAAATAGATTTGAGCGTTTGTTTGTTAGCCAATGCTGAAAACTGTTTAAAAAGATTAAAAATGTCTAATTCTGTTGCTCTCTCTAGTGGACAACATGGTTCTATATAAACTGTTGAAATGAATGACAAGAAATTCGTTTTTTTAACTTATATCTCGGAATTAAAAAACTGAAAAAATCTGAAACTCAGACTTTAGATAGTGTTCAATGAGCCCTCTTGAAAACCATCCTGGTGTTGCTGAGTAATTTAGCCAGGAGCTGTCAGTTGAAATGCATATCTTTGTCGGCTTATGTCTTGGGAATGCCTGGGTTAAATAACAACATACTCGAATCGAAGCTTTTTTTAGACCTTTTAAAAGCCTTTAACAAATTGAACGACAGAAAACACCATTGTGCAAGCTGCCTAAATTAATTTATATTGAATAGATACACTCCCATTCCTGTCTTTTGAGTATATAGCCCCCAAATCATGAAACATAAACACAAACATAATGAACACCTTTAATGTAATAAACTGCACCTGTGGTTATTACGACGTAGTGACATCATGTTGTGAAATTGAGGGTAACTGACTAAAAAATCCCAGGACCAGTTAGTAATCATACATTTGGAAATATTAATAGGCCTATATTTAGCTATGAAAAGTGAAATTAGTTTTGATGAGAGGTTTAGCATTTGTTTAGATTTGGTTTGATATTTTGTTCTAATGCAATTAAATTCTCTAATTCCATTAAATGCCAAGCTAACCTTATTCTTTTCTGTTTCATCACTTTAAGAACATGAACATGTATTAATAAAGTAAACAAGGTCAGTTTTGATTTCATGTTCACCTTAACAAAATCAAATAATCCATGAGTATGTGTGAAAAAGGTTAACACTTGCTCTTTTGCCTGTAATCTAAACTTATACAGTCATATGAGCTATGGTATAATGGTCTTATTAATCAAACCTCATTTCTTTTTCTTTTCATATGGAGTCATATTTTGATATTCAGGTTTGTACAGTTCAGGATTTTATTTATGCTTATTTCTGCATGTCTTCATACTATAAGACCCCAGCTACTTCTAATCGATAAATATTGAGAGACCCGTTGTTTTTGATACATTTATTGTTTGCATTTCTGTTTAAGAATGACATCACAAGCTTAAAGAGGATACACTAGCTTTTTTCAAGTATACAGGAGACAATTGTGCTTAACATAACTAAGCTTTGATGCTAACAAATTAAAGGGTTAGTTCACCCAAAAATGAAAATTCTGTCATTATTTACTCACTTTTTGATGAAACTTAACTTAACTTAAGAGCTTTCCGACCCTTTGACGCTTCAAAAAGTTCATAAAGAGATCGTAAAACTAATCCATATGAATTAAGCAATTTTATGAAGAGACATGAATGCTTTGTGCAAGAAACATAATTTACCATTATAACACAAATATAAATCCCCAACACATGTTCACGCAACGTTTGTTCTCGTGAATGGGCGTTGGAGATTAATATTTTTAAAAACAAAGCACTCGCATTGCTTCATAAAATTTTGGTTAAAATACTTCAGGTCACATCATGAATTACTTTTATGATGCCTTTACTACCTTTCTGGGGCTTGAGAGTGGTAGTTGTCAATGGAGGGACAGAAACCTCATTAAAAAGATCTTCATTTGTGTTCTGAAGATGAACTAAAGTCTTACTGGTTTGGATCAGCATGAGTAAATGATGACAGAATTTTCATTTTTGGGTGAACTAACCCTTTAAGATGATGAAACAGACAAATGTCATCGCTTAAAGCTCATGAAAACAGTGCAAAGAATAATTAAGTGTGCTTTCTATGCTTGCAGGCGTAATACACTGTACAGGCTCATGGTTGGTAGGTTGATGCACAAGCTCCCATTGCTGAGGGTGGGCATTGAGGCCCAGAGTCCCCAGAGCTGGCTGATGAAGAAGCAGACTGACTTGGCCCTTGGTACCTTGAGGAGGAAGAAAAGAGCAAGGTTTAAATGTGGAAAAGTTTTAGCTTTCTGTGTAACAGCTGAATTATGTACATATGTGTATATGTATACATGCAGGGTACTCACCACGAT